AAAAAGAACAGAAGCTCCTTTTTATTCGTATTTCCCACTATATCCAGTCAAATGAACAAAATTATATTTTTACATAGCGAGCATGAAATATAATATTTCAATTAATAACCTATTACTCTTAATGTCCAAACTTTTGTAACCTTTTTTGCAAAATAAACGTTTTGTGTTTGAAACTTTCAGTGATTTTTTCATCTGCTGCAAACTGATAGATGCAAGTAGTTACACAGACTTTATAGCTCTCAAATAAATGAACCAAATTCAATGCTTCTTCTATTACTAAACTAATTATAATCGGCGATTTTTAATACAAAGTACTATATTTGGCCTTTTTTATGATTTTGTGAATAAAACTCCTTCAATATTTTTTTTATAAACAACCCTTGAGACTGCCTACTTCAAACCCAACGAATTCTTTTAACTATACCTACAAAATTTCCTTATTCTCTCGACTAATAAAACACTAAAATATGCTAACTGATTTCGGTAAAGAAAGAAAACAAATTTAAGAAATTAAACTCTTAAACATCGTAAATTGTCTTTAATAAACTTTTTGCTAATAGAATTTTGAATAACGGAGTAAATTAACGTCTAATATAATTTATGATTGTTTTAAGCATTCTAAAAAAGGAAAAGGTTCCGAGTTCACTTTTTTGTATTTATGTCAAATCTTAACCAATTTTGATAACTCTTTTTGCATACGATAGAATTTACACCCGTATTCGTTCGATATGAATTTTATTACAATTAGTAGTTCAGGAAGAAAAAAATATTATTCCGAAATAATTATCAAAATCAGTTTAGCATTAACGTAAATATACATAACATACACACAAAAAGGGTGAATTTAGAAGCTCCTCATTTTAGAATAATGTTATTATCATTTCAATGTTTTTCAAACGTTCGCTTTAAAAACATTCAAAGTACCTATCAAAATAGAGGATTCTTTATTCACATCAGTCAAGTACGACCCAAGAATTAATCATACCGTCTCAAGTCATGCCGAAATTCCCTTGCAACCTGTGGAAATGAGATATTCCATTTCCTATCTTGTCTGTGCAAATACCGCAGACAGCTTCACTAAAGAAACATTTTAAAATCTATTTCCTGAAGTACACAAGAAATAAATTCAAAAATTTCTTACAAAATAATCCTTAGTAAATATGATATATTATTTTTTAATTTCCTAATGATTCTAAGAAATTTTAAACTCATCCTATAGTTCCATTCTAATTTACGCAAGTATATAGTTATTTAAAAATAAATGTACGATCTATACGTAAAAAATTAAGTAAATAAATAAGTAAAAACCTACAAGTTACTAACCACTGTGTATAGTACATTATTCTATTTGTATGTATTCATGGCTAGTTTCCGGGGAAGAGATAATACGATTTTTTTATCTAATTCTACCAAACACACTAACTAACTTATCCAATTTGCTAACATTTGGTTAAACACCCAGCACCTAGAAACGAGGATGAAGACCGCGACGAAACTTTTCCAATCCAATGCACGCACGCACTTCTCACCAAGCGGGCCTTTCACCAAGTCGTTCCTTTGAATCCACTTCCCAATTGTCTCAATACGAACATGAGCACACTAACTTTTACATTTAAACTTTGTTGTAGTACTCTTAGAAAGAGTACGGGAAGCCTTTACAACTCTATTACTGAGGTCTGAGACTCTCTCGTGACATGTATCGATGATTATTAGATTATTTGTACTTTTAGCCAGAAGATTTGAAAAACAAACAATATCTACTTAGATTCAGGATATAAACTCTGTACTCAATGAGTTTCCATGAAATCCTATAATGTTTCTTCCAATATGCTTTCAGAAATACTATTGATTTAGAACCCAAAACCAATAAATAGGTTGATAACATATAAAAGAGCGAAGTGTTGTTTGTAGTTATTATTTACTATAAGTTTATGTAGTACTGGTTATCATACTGGATAACAGTTGGATGTTTGTTAAAAGAGATCTAATAGTCCTTTATACTCAACACAAATACATTTCGATGAGTTAGATGAGGGCAAAAAAGCTATATATAACATAAATACAAACATATTGATAATGATCAAATATTTTGGAGATACCTTACACTAAAAAAATTAATGCAGTTCATGAAATTTCCTAACTATAAGTGCATTTCCGTTTGCAACCAACAGTTTTTTTTTTTTTGCCTCGCAAAGAAAACTGCAACTTCAATCGTCACAATATTAATTTGGAACCAACCCGAGCGTAAACTGTAACGATTAAAAAATAGATTATGATACTTGAACAATCTGTTTAATTTATTTAGTAATATTCTTATCGGAAAAAATAAAACTTTTCAAATGTATTATCTAAAAATAATACATGTGATCAAATAAAAATAACATAATTATTATTATAGGGGCCACCAAGTTATAGTCAAAAGATCGACATCGTTGGCACGATAAATCAAGTTTTTCAAGTTTTTGCCTAGACTAAGGTTATGCTAAAAATAAGACTGGCTTGTACAATGCATTTTCTAGCAGACTTCTATTCTTGTTTTCTATTTTGTATTTACTGCGTTTTCTGCTTCTCTTATTCATCGTAGCGAGCATGACGACATTTATAAAGTACGTAAGAAATTTTTGACGTTTTCTGACCCATACTTTGTTGGTGAAAATATTAAGTTGCGAAGGTAGATCATATCATGATCATTATCATTGCAGCCGTTATCTGTCAATTGATGAACATAGGCCTCTTCCATAGGTTTACAGTCCCATGGCAATTTACCATTCGGGGATTTTTGCCAGTAGTTACCACGCTTGGCAGGCGGATTGGCAACCATGATTTAACATTTCATGATGCTTTATTAGGGACGCTGCTACCCATCTCTCGACCATTAAGTAACCCTTGTCGCCTCTTACGGCACCCACGGGAAAAGAAGGAGTGGCCCATTCTACGCCGAGACCACACAGGGTAGATCTATATATATATATATATATATATATATATATATATATATATATATATATATATATATATATATATATATATATATATATATATATATATATATATATATATATATATATTGATCTCAAAAGGACATTACAGGTTTGAAGAATGTGAATTAGGACTTTTAGTCCAGCTACATTTTGTCCACTGTTGAGGAAATTCGACCCCCTATCCGCTATTGACGGTGACTTCAGACGGCTAGTTTCTCTCATATTTTTTAATGTACAAACCGTAAAGTAAAAAAATCATATTCGTATTCAAATTCATACAACGTATTTAAGAAAGGCGCTTTAAATTTCATGGAAGCAGTCATGAATCACTTTGAGGACAAAGCAATGTCTCCCCGCGCCTGAACGGCCTGTCAAACTTTTTCAATTCCAAGTGCGAAGGTTAAAACATAATATAGTAATGGCATCCAACATTACTCCACTTGATACTGATACCCGTCGGCGAGTCACCAACTTAATGCCTCATCACGGTGACATCAGGTCTGCATAATTAAAAATCTCTGAGAACTCGGAATCAATTCATAATCGTCCTCTTAGTCATTCGAATTCGTCAAAAGATACAAAAGAGACGAAGATGGGAATAAGGTAATATTCAAAATAAACTATTAAAAAAAAAGATAGGTGCGAGTAGAATTCGTGCTCTCAGGGTTCCGTGTCGTTACATATATTAGAAATGTTAAAATGTAATATTTAGATGTTCTTCCTTCTCCTATTGAAATATTTCAACAAGAGGAGATTCACTATTCGTATCGTATGCATTTTTATGTATATAATAATTTCAAAGTGTTTCCGCACTTGTTTGGCAGTTTAATCGAAAGTATTTCATTTTAGTTTAAATAAGTTATTCACAACTTTTAATTCAAAACACAATCATAAACTCTTTTAAATTGATTAACTTTTAAGTTAAAATTAAAATTTCATACAAATGAGGTATCCAACGTAAAAAAATATTTATAAGCATTCATTATACAGGTAAATAACAATTTGCAACATTATTTCGTAAATAAAAGTTATTTTATATAGCCAATACTATTTTACAGGCGTTATCACCATATGATGCTGATAAACATACTCGAAGCATTTTGAAAACTGCTTGCAATTCGTGAACAAATTCGTCCCGTTGTCCCATCTGCTACATTTATCAGCCGAGAGTTTATTCATCGTCCATTTATTCGCTCGGCTTTTGGTCGGTTCAGGCGGCTCAAGTCGCCCGTTGAGTGCACTAGCGTGTTGGAAACTTGGAGGCTACCCCAACTTTGTTTCCACTAGATCGAACAATACTTGAGCACTTCACTCATAATATCTGATCAAGTGGAAATGAATTTTTGGCTTTGCGATCATTCGCTTCTGATTGTATTATTCGAAATTCGAATTTTTTTTTATATATTCATAATATTTGAAACTGATTTTATCTATTGCCATTAGTACTTAATTTAAAAAATATTATTAAATTAGTATATTAATTTAATAATATTTTTGGCGGGTAGATAAGGTCTTATTTCTTTTCTTTCCTCGAAAACAAATTAATTGTTTAAGTGCTCTATGTTACCTCGTACTGTACACGTGTCTGCATGTATTTCATTTGGAAATTTCGGAATTTTATTTAGAGCCACAAAAGGAAAGTTTGTACTAAAATCTCCTTTCTGTAAAATTTTCCAAAGTTGTCCTTTGTTTTCTCTTTATTCGCTAAAAATGGATGTATAAATATTTTTATTTGGATACTAGCTCATGGCACTATTTAATGTGAGCTGTTTAATGATCCGTGGACGAGATTTTGTATAAAATGATGCGAAAAAGGTCAGTCCTCATTGTTCGTGTCGACTACTATTATTATAAATGCTAAAATAACTACAATTATAATAGTTTAATAGAGTATGATGATATCAATGCAAGTATACAGATATGTGCATATATATCGTCACACTCGTAATTGTTTTACTGTTATACATAAATAGTTAACATATGTTTGATTTTTCAAAGATTTCTTTTTCTTTGTTTCAGCTAGTACGAACCTAGTGGGCAAGTTCACGCAGAGCGTTCGTCGGATAGTTCAAGATGTCAAAGATGAGGGCACTTCTAGTAAGTATAATTTTATTATTTATATGTAAAATCATCGTCATATCATCAGAAAGTCACTGTCAAATAAAGCATTACGATTAAAAGTTACATAAAGAATGTGAAAATATTTTTATTTGGAAACTAGCTCATGGCACTATTTAATGTGAGCTGTTTATTGATCCGTGGACAAGATTTTGTATAAAATGATGCAGTATGGTCTGGAGTATGTTCTCATGTCCAAATAATTTTTCTAAACCTACTAATTACAACTTTTATATACTATTTTACAATTAAAACTACTTATATCGATTTTAAAACAATACTAAAGCGGCTCCTTATTATAACATGCCTTCTTTATATACTCTAATAAATTTCTGACGCCTAAATAGATTTTTGTTAATAAGTAATGCCCCAGAAAAAAATAAAATTTAAGTATGTAAATAATTTTATATTTATTCATTACCAGGCGGGCAGACAAAGGAAGAGGTGATCGAAACAAATGAGAGACTGCGAGCGGTACGGGTGAGACTGGATGAGAACTATGATACAGCAAAGAAAGCTCTTGTGACGCTAATGGCACGGTACAGCGAATCTAAATCTCAGAGGAACGTGTTTACTAGATACCCGATGCTGAAGGCTATGATTAAGGTAAATGACAGCAATATTAATTTAGTAATATACTTCAAATATAAGTATTTTTTATAGATGTAAATAGAATGTTAGCCCCGACCGCATCATTGATTTACGCTTTCAACGTATCAATATAGAATAATAAGTGATGATTATAATCATGTCAGCTGAGCCACGGTAAGGAAATCAATAGGAATTAATCATGGTGGTTTCCAGGACTGCTTGGATGTAAATCTGATGGTGTATATAGCTACTACTACTAGCAATGAGGCCAATAATCCCTTTTACTAATATTTCCCTCCAGCGTTTAAATCCTCTAGTTTAGTTAAGCCGGTATGATCATTTATAATTTATTTGAATATTTATTATAATACTCATTGTATTGGTATCCTCACACCAAGAGTTTCTATGCTGCCTTTTTTATACACAAAGATCTCTGACCTAATATATTAAACACCAACTGCACATGTCAAACTTGATAGATTAAGATCCTGCTGCCTAAGAGCAGGAAGGAGAATGGATTGTTAGTAATGGGGATCTAATAACTCCATTTACCAGAGGGAGACTTTGTACAAAGGTCGATTGCTATCCAACCTCTATCTAGGTATCCAACCTCTGTCCTATTCGTGTTTCAACCGTAAAGCAATTGTGTTTGCATGGCTGTGTTTCGGTTTGAAGGGTGAGATATAGCGTGAATTTACTGGGTACAGAGGAGTAACACCTGAGCCTTCAAGAATGGCAACACATGGGGGGTATCATGGGTGAAACATTATACTTTGTTATATCCATGGTACTGCTCATGTCTATAGGCGACGGTTACCACTTTCCATCAGGTGAGCCGTCAGCTTGTTTGCCATTGTAAGTTGTATAAAAAAATATACCCTATCAGATCGATATCCACGCGATTCCCCTTAGAAATCATTCAGGTTAATTCTTGTCGAATTTGTCATGATGGGGCAATTGACCTGACTTCAGCCTCACCTATCATTCCTCACTGGTGCCCAACTAGTATATAACAATGTCGTGGGTGAAGTTATAATTTCATTTACACACATAAAATAAATTGAGAGCAGCCATTCCGAGTGCGTTCTATTGTAATATTATTATACTATATATTGTATTAATATTATTTTCTGCTGATCTATTATTTAAAAGACGTTTTATTAAAAAGTCTTATAACTGTAGAAATCAGCGGCAGGAACGTACTTAATAAAAAATAAAATAAAAAACCTTTAATGTTATCCTTATTTTTACATAATTATAAAGGTACTAAATAAAAATGTTACTAAAACTGACTTTTATAATTTATATTGAAATTAAATATTTAAAACGGTTGTTAACCTAATACAGCTTGTTCTACGTAGGCCTCCTCTAAAGATTTCCATTCTTCCTTCTCTTTTGCTTTGCGAATTCATACTGGACATGCTGTTTTCCTAATGTCATTCCCCCATCTTTTATTTTGTCTATCTCTATTTCTTTTACTGTCCTTTCGGTATCATTCTGTTATTATTCTTGTCTATTTCTCTTTCTTTTCTCTTATCATGTATCCTGCCTATCTCCACTTAAGTTGTTTGTAAGTTGCAAAGTATTCTTAAAATGTGTCTTACTTTATATTGTTTTAAATTTTGCTGATAATAAGCAATAACAATTAACACTCGGTAAACGGAATATACAACTTTATTATAATATAGAAGGGAATGAAACAACAAAACACATACTCCCCCAAGCCGACCGGGAGCTTACTTAACTTAATTGAACCTCTAAATTCAGACATAATGCTAAATGTTCTCACCAAGCTAAATTAGAACATGATCGTTGACATTTATTTTTCGTAATAGTAAGTCGTGCGTTCTCATTTATAATTGTCAATTCGTGACATTTAATTGTTACTGAATCGTGTCTTTAGATATATTCGTAATTTTTGACGATCCATTAGAATTTAAATTTTAAAACTGATTTCAATGATTACTTTTGCTATCGACACGATTTACCCTCCTGTTGATTCCCTAATAATTTTATCATTATTATTAAATAGGGTTTTCTTATTGAAAATCTGAATCATATTTCAAATTGTCAATTCTGCTTAGTTATTGTAGTATTCACAAAGCGTGTCATGTTGTATTGTCGGTTTCATGAATACCTAAGTAATGACAAAGGCAAGCGAATGTTCCGGAATCTCCTAGTTAAATTATCCTCTGTTTGCCACAGGCTCCGCAGTAATTACATTGAGAAATTAACCACGACCCCTAATAGCTATTTTCAAGAAGCGTCGCTTGTAGATAAAGCTGATTAATCTACATAACATAAAGAGGAAACTGACTGATCTACGAACAACCGAAATTGTTCGATCTAGATGGATTGTTGGTCTTATTCTAGAAATATGAAATCTGCATTCCATCTAAAAGCTTGCTTATGTGAGCACTAATATGTACTCGTATTTATTGTGTGATTTGTAGCATTAAACATTTTGCTCTTTAAAAAAAAGTAACTGCGGTCATGATAAATTAATATTATTTATCTATACTTATAATAAATCTGTAGAGAGGTCAATTCTGTACATGAAATATAAATATAAATATAAATATAAAAATAACTATCAGGGGGTGATTAGTAATCGATACTGATGCCAATAATGCAATCAGTAAGATTTTTGTCTGTCTGTCTGTCTGTATGTTCGTTATAGAAACAAAAACTACTCGACGGATTTTAAAGAAACTTGGTACAATTATTCTTCATGTTCCTGGGCAGGTTATAGTATACTTTTCATCACGCTACGATCAATAGGAGCAGAGCAGTAAAGGGAAATGTTAAAAATATCCACCCGTACGATGCCGGGACGGGCCACTAGTATATTAATATATTATATTAAAATTAATATGATATTATTTGGTAAAATAATTAGTAACATCTGTCCAGATTTAGAGACGATGTCGACAAATATGAAAAAATAGAAGTGAATATTTAAAGTCGGTTAAAAATTCCAAATTCAATCTTGATCACACTAAATTATTATAATGATTTTCCTATTTGATTAATATCTGTATAATAATTATGAATTGGTAAATGTGCAAATAGTTAATTATAAATAAAATATACCAAGAAAAGAATTTTGAGTATTCTCAAGGGAATAGAATATAGATTCCCGCAGGCAATACGAGTACTATAAGAAATAGCTAGTCTTTGATAAAAATGATAATATTTCTGAATAAAAACGTAAAAGGGGAAAATTGTATACCTACATGTATCTGCAAATGATCTCTGAAACCATAAAGGCTACAAACTTGTAATTTTGGCATAAAGGCTTCTCCTGTGACGTTGGTATCCACTTTTCGTGTGAAAATAGCTGAAAACGGATAGTATTTAGGCAGAACCATGTTTTCTACTTATATAACTATACAATATAACAAAAACTGTCGAATAATCTTTAAACCATTGACTTTTGAGAATATTTAATAAGTATGTCAGATTTTTAGTAACTAAACTTTCTTATTTAGATTTTCTTATTATGTTTGGAAAATATTTAAAAAATAAATATAATTTTAAATGAAAAAATAAATATTCTGCTTTTTTAATTCTTATATGGAATATATATGTAGTACAAACTAATTTATTATTATGTATAAAATGCCTGTAAAAGTGCTTGGACTTTGGGTATTTGTTACTTAATCACGCTGAAACGGTTTAATGAAATTTAATGAAATTTGGTAGAAATATACAATATACCTTAGTACATAGACTACTTTTATCCTAATTCATATGGGTAAAACTAAGGGATATAAATAGTTGTTTAATAATTTGGAAAATATATTATAATAAATATGAACTTAAAATTTCTCTAAGTCGTAATTTGTTGTAACAAGGTAGTAAGCTCATTAAAAAGGTTTATTACAATGAATGTCTCGTTTTATAGTTAATTAGTTATAATATACTTAGGACTTATAATCTACCTGCTCTCTAATCTAAAATTCTCAGTTACTACCATGGCAACTAAGATCGGCTACAACAATACCAATATTTACGATAAATTCTCAGTTAGTCCCATAGCAACGAGGATCAGCAAAAAGTTCCAGCCTGATCTAACTAGTCCTCTTCTGGACAGCTATAATTGTGTGAAAACATTCTAACTTAGTTAACAATCTCGCGAGGTGCGTACGTGCTCGACAATTCTCGTCCTTATTGTAAACGAGTCACGTAAACGAACCTTCCCTACTCAGCACTCCGCTGAATTTCTGCCCTGTCATTATATCTGTTGTGCTCCGAATGAAAAAAAAAAACAATTTAATCGCATTCATAAACTCTCTCGTTTGAGTGAAAAGATTTAGTTTGGATACTAATAAATTTCGATATTTTACATTATTCCAAAACAAAAATAACAAATTCAATAACGATAGAACTGCTCGCGTTAGCAAAAGATTTTTCTCAAGAGAGGGGAAACTTGCCTCCTAACTGAACAATTGAGGCCTTATACTTCTCGTTCGTTCGATATTACTTTTTATCGTAACGAAAATCCCTAACAGAGTTACAAAAAATGACGAAGTAACAAAGGCAATTTTAATCCTACTTTCTAATGTGGAAGTTTGTAAAGAATTTCAAATGACTTCAAAAAGAAGGAGGTTCTCAATTTGGCTATTTTTTTTATCTCATAATATCGTCAGTTATAAACCAATTTGGAATTATTTTTTATCTAAAAAGATAAGACTTACAGGTCTATTAGATAGATACTCTTTATTGTTTCCTCCAAAAGATTACAATAGCAAACTTATTATAAATATAAAAAAAAATTAAATCAAAATAACTAGTTTTGCCACATTTGAAATCAGTTTTTTTTTGGTGGAACACAATCCAAATACACAATATATTTGGATATATATTGCTCAATTGTGCTTAAATGGTTTCAACGCGAAAGAAGATACGGAGATACTCATATTTTGTGTTTCGTGTCATTCCCGTCTCAATTACATACTATTTTTAACCGACTTCAAAAAGAAGGAGGTTCTCAATTCAGATATACTTTTTTA